ACTTGGTTTACAACTTTTTAATGATATGGGGAGAATTTTCATGTCAAAATATTGATATCGTTATCCAAACGCATTCTCTTTTATAGATTTAAAAACCTCTTAAGAAAATATTGTTACTATCGTTTTTCTATATTACTCAAAATCCTTCTAGAATTATTCAGCCGCTCGGTGTCCTCATGCATCTATATAGTTTGTTTAAACAACCCAACTTACACTTTACTGTGAGAGATCATGATTCAGGTTCATATACACCTCTTCTCTTGCGCTATTTTCTTGCTTCAACTCCTTCTTGTGTTATAGACATTTGAGGATTGCTATTGTCGTTTATCTTTTCATTTTTGTACCACCATCAAATCAATACAGCTCTGGTGAGTGATGACCGCTTCATGTCACAACACTGTTTCCCACTCTCGTGGACCTATTGCAAGGATCTGTATCCAATCCTGTAACAAGAGCAAGTGGAAACCATTAGGCTGATTGATCATCTTTGAAATCTCTTTTGTTGCGTACACTGCTTCCCTTTTTAAACGAAAGCGAAAATATCATTTCTAGTTGGAGTTCAGTTTCTTACCATTTTTTCATCTGCCTTGTGAATCATTTTTGTCTAGCTAGTAACCAATTCATCCATGTTGACAAACAATACTTTGAGATGTATTCCGGTAAATCCACCTGAAAACCGCATCTCAGATGAAGAAAAGAACACAAATATGAAACACATCTATTATACGCAAACAAGGTCTAAAAATGCGTTTTGAATTTTGTATAAAATCAACAACATGGAAACTCACACTGGTCCATGTTGCGGAAAACCCATCAGTAGATAGCAACCAACTTCGACTTATTCGATGCAGACCTAAAAGCTCATCATCATCATCAATAGCGCTCTTCTTTTTCTTCTTCCTTTTGTTCTTTCTCCTCTTGTGCCTCTTGTTAGAAACATGGCTTTTACCATCAGAGTCAGATTCGCTTTCTTCAGAGAATCCGTAATGGCTCAGCAACGAGTGGTCACTGGACCTGCGGAACTCAATTCCATTTTCTTTAAATAGAAACTCCCATGAATCTGGAGTCTGACATTCCTCAGATAATCTGAAGTGAATAGTCCAAGAAAGTAGTCCAAGTATTCTTATCACCCCTACGTGTTTCATCTTCAAAAGATCTTTCGGAACTAGAGAAATGCTACTGCTATTTTCCAAAACTCTGCAAATTTCTGCCATGGTTTCTTTCAACATTTCTCCCTCGTCATTGACGTTCTCATCACGTACAAGACGTAGCAGCTGACGACCTTGGTTGATAATAGAATTCAGCAGTAGTAGCTCGTCAATAGATTCCATGTCAGCATATCTTGAAAGGACAGCCCCGAGCCAGCAAGACGAGCAACTAGTATCCCAGGTATCAATGCTTGGACTGAAATAGTTGCCAAGCAATTCCAGAAATTGACATAATTCAGGTTCTTCGAGAGTGATAAGGAGATGCTGGGTTAAGGAGGAGAAAGACTCCTCCGTTAGAAACTCCTCTACAGCATCCCACACATCATTCATATCGTCCTCGTACATGAAACGGAGAAAGAGATCAAGAAAGAATTTGGTGTCAAGGGATAAAATCTGGCCATCTTTGAGTGACGCAGCAAACTCGTTGGATGACCAGAAGTCAGGAACATTGTCGAGGAAATTCTCAATGGTTCGTTGGATGTCTAGATCAAGAAGGTAATGAGGCTTGGTAGCAACAACAGCAGGCGATTGCCCGTGTTTTCCCCGCCACTCAAGCTCTTCCCAGCAAATATCCCGGTTGGCAAATGCAAACTGCGCCAATGCTCTTGCACCTCTTTTGTGATCAGAGCCGCCATCAAAAGCAAATTCAGAAAACCACTGCAGCATACGCTTCGGATTCCCTGCATATTTCAAAACTCAGCATGAAGAAGCACAATCGCAAAAATAGCATTTCCAAGACCACAAACAATGGGAAGCAGACCTTGAAAGAATTTCTCGAGTAAAAAACTTCTTTTGGCTAACACAGATCCAAGCTTCCTCGGGCTCTTATCAAACATCATTTGCAGAAGCTGTGACACAAGCTGCATCTTTCTGGGCTTTGGTCTCAAAAGCCTCATGAAAACATTGAGTTGGCGTCTAGGGGATATAGAAATAGTAGAAAGAGCAGTGCAGAGCCAAAGTCTAGCTTCTGATCGAGCTCCACCAGTCACCAATGATCGAATGTGAGATCCCAATTTGTTCAACAGAGGCAAAATCACTTGATCTATGGTGCCACTGTCGTTCTGCCTGGGCTGGGACAAGAACAATTTCACCATCGTCGTAGATTATTCAATTGATCTAACGAAACATAAATCATGAGGAAAACTGCAAAAGAAACAGTAAAATCGAAAATATTAAAGCCCTAACTCGGAAATCAATCTGTAGTCAGAAACGACAAAGGATGTTTCAGGTTTCTGAAAAAGTAAGAAGAGTACCAATTTCGTCCGTCGTCTGCAAAGGAGAAACTCAGGCCATCGGTGATGCGATGCAAAGCTGCTTCTGGTTCGCTATTTTCCCCACTGGCCAAAACGGTTCTTTTGATTGGTTCGACCCGACCGGCTCCATTTATTTATTTTTCTTAAATGTAACAATTTACCTTTTTCCAAAAATAACTCGTCGGTTACATCCCAAATTTTTTTTTGCTTTTGTTATAAAAAAATGGTATATTAAGAAGAGAAAGAAAGCGAGACAGATTTGTT